CTTGTAGAACACAGGAGCAAATCCTTCAGCGGAAAGCTTCATAATGGGAGCCAGGAACGCTTTCACGATAGAATCTTCTGTCCTGCTAACATTCAAGTCCACAGTCGCATATTCTTTCGGTTTCCTAAAGTCCTTCACGAACAATCGTCTGTAGTCGAAGAACTGAAAAAATGATCAAAAGCTTTTTAGAAAGTTAAAAAAGATGACAACCTCGAGGCAAAGGGATACTCCGCTTTCTCTCAAACATAACCATTGCACATCTGTGGACAATTCAAGTATTTTAAGACATTTTAAATGCAAGAAATTCAAAATTAGAAATTTCAAATGACTGTGAAAACCAGTCTGTCCCTGCTTCAAAAAAGAACCATACAACTACAGTGTTGTCCAACATAATCTTAGACTAACAAGTGACTCACGCAACATAATTATCTGGCCAATAATTGCTCTAATTTTCGAAAAAATCTTCGGAATTTTTCCAAAATTTGATGAAAAATGCCTACATTTTTGCCATTCTTTATCTTTGAAATTTGTAAATTTCGGAGTCATAAAACAAATCAAGTAGGAAATTGAATTAATCCTGACTAATCAACATTTAAAAATTAACAGCAATTCTCAAATTAACACCATGGCAAGATGTGATGAGTTCTTGGCTGATAAGCAAAAGCTTAACTTTTATGATTTATACTTTAGTTTAGAGGGTCCTCTCATTATTCAAAATTGAAAAATATTCCAACATGTAAACCCCAATAAGGTTGCACAGTAAATTATTCAAAATTTTTTTCTAGCACTCACCGAATAATCCAAATTTATTTCACATTTTTCAGCAGAACATTGTACTGTAAATGTAAAAATTTTTAATATTACAGTAATTTGAAGTACGCCTGAAAAGTGTGTGCCCCCAGCTTTTTCAGTTTCACAGCAAGAGAAAGCAAAGCTTTCTTTTCCGTTTCCTCAATTTTTCGAAACATTCCATGGTTTTCGACCAGAAGTTACTCAAGTGGGATCATTTTTAGACAGCAAATTTGCACGTGAACCACTTAATACCCCGGGCAAAATTTTGCAAATCGAAAATTTCGTCGTACGGGTCTCTCGTAACGCGGGAACCACTTCATGATCGTTCGTTAAAAGATTGGTACATTTTCTAGACCCTTCTGCAGAATACCTAATTTGAAAACTGCACCCGGGCTTACCCGACCAACAACAACAAAATTTCACCCAAAACGTGATATTTGACTGGCATTTCAAGATAGAAGACATACTAAATTGTCTCAATATAGGAAAATTACAACGTACCTCGATGAACATCGACTCGACTTCTCGAACAAGGACTCCAACTGCTTTACGGTCAATCACTGTAAAATGGGCTTCCACAATTGACATTAAAAACTCCACCACTGGTCCGCTTCTACACTGCGTCGGATTCGACTTTCCAGCAGCGACATCCTTGCATGCTTTCCGATAGGCAGACAAGATAGCGGGACACAACACTCGTGATTCTATTGCCGTCGCCAACACTTTCCTTAAAATAACGAATTATAAACACCCATTAAAATGTGCTCATGCAATTTAAAACATATTTAATCCTATGATAAACCCAAATAAAATGAACTGCCCTTGAATTTACCTCGGGTCAAATGTCAGAACCGATCTTGAGAGATTTAACAGGAGGTTTTCGATTTACGGGATTGGGGACAACGTATATTTATCAGTGAATCATTTCCTTGAAATTACTTTGTTTTGAAATACTGTAATTTACGTGAGTTTGAACACGAAGTACCGTTTTAAACGAGTAACGAGATTCGGCGCTGCTCCAATAAGCCTCAGTAAGATACTACGCCTATGATCAAAACTTGTCAAAATGCAGCGCAAGATTTAAAGTGCAGTAAAACAATTGATCCAAACACGAAACAGGTGACGCACTTCGATATTTCAAAAGGTGAAAATTATTTCTCGAAATTCTTCTCATGTACAATTTTCTCATTACGATTGAGTCTGGAAATCGAGTACAATGAAACACTCTCATAAGCTACAGTATAGTAGTACAGTATACCATTCTTTTACGATACCATATTCTCAATGAAACTAATTTAGTAATTATTACCTTCATTTTGTGAATATTCGGAAGAAAAATCCTCATTGCGTCATATGATGCACACGTGAAATTTCAGCAACCAAAAAATAAAATCGGAATTGCGGGAAAATCAGTCACACGAGATTTTTGGATATTACGTAAATGGAAAATATAAAATTGGTCATATTAAATTATTAATATTTTCAACTCAAGATGACCATTTTTTAGGCGGACGTTCTGTCG